CTCAGCCTCCCAAAGTGCTGGGATTAGAGGTGTGAGCCACCACTCCCGGCCAATATTAACTGTTTTGGGATATTGGATCTGTGCCAATAATTCATGTTTGGTGCATTTCTGTAATGTCCTTTGGGTGCCTATATTTTTCAAAAGAAGTGTTATGTTTGGGACTTAAAGTTGAAATATATTTCAAGATTTCATGAAAAGAAAAAAAATAAGTCTACAATGTTCAATAAGTCAGTGTCTTGTTTCATTAAATGCCATTTAAAAATAAAATACATAGGGTTAAAAAGTGAAAAAAAATCTGTTTCTTCAAAGGGGCCTTCCCTGACTGCTGTCCAATTCAAGGACCCTATTAATCTCTCTCTGTCTCAGCCTGTGCCTTTCACAGCAGTTACCACATTTTGTAATCACAATTTTGTTTCCTAGGTTAAGGCTTGTCTCTCCTACTAACTATGAGCTTGACAGAAGCTCTCTGACCTCATCTGCTGTGTGCAGCTGCCTCCCCAGTGCTGTCTTAGTGAGCAGACACACTACAATACTGTAACAAAGAGGCCCTCAAACACAGCAGCATGCATAACACGTCTTCCAAATGTGATAATGTGGGTCAGTGACCCAGGCTGGCACGGTGGTTTGAAGATGTTCACAAGCTCCAGGGCCTCTGCAGACCACTTTCCTCCTTAGCTACCAGGACACACCTTAAAAACCCTTGGCCAGGCATTATAACTCATGCCTGTAATCCCAACACATTGGGAGGCCAAGGTGGAAGGATAGATTGAGGCCATGAGTTAGACACCAGCCTTAGCAATATAATGAGACTATGTCTCTGAAAAAATAATTTAAAAATTAAAAATATTTAAAAAACTCCTCTTACCCAGACCAATCCCGCTCTCTTTGGCCTCAGCTTCAGGTCCAGGCTGCCCCAGATCATCCTCCTCTCAGCCAGAGGCTCATCTGTGTGGCTTCTCAAACTACAGAGCAAGTTCTGAGAGGAAGTAGGACTCTCACGAACGCCACAGGGCCACTGCATGCACTCTATCACTTTATAAAATAGTACTGATTCCTTCTGTGGCTATGGTTTACATCTGTCCACAACCCTGATCTTTGAGTTACCTCATCATTCTGTGCCTCAATTTCTTTATTTATAAAATGGAGGTGACAATAGTTTGCCTCCTAGGACCGTTATAAGAGTTCAGTGAACAAAAAGCGTTTGGACTTGAACTTAGCACATGCAGTTGCTCTCTGAATAATCAACATTATTGTCTCTTGATTCTCTGGACTTCCCCATGAAGTCCAGAGAATGAAGTGGAATCAGCACTTCCTCTTTTTTTTTTTTTTTTTTTTTTTTGAGACGGAGTCTCACTCTTGTCACCCAGGCTGGAGTGCAGTGATGTGATCTTGGCTCACTGCAACCTCCGCCTACCGAGTTCATACGATTCTCCTGCCCCAACCTCCCGAGTAGCTGGGATTACAGGCGCCCGTCATCACGCCCAGCTAATTTTTTGTATTTTTAGTAGAGACGGGGTTTCACCATGTTGGTCAGGCTGGTCTTGAACTCCTGACCTCAGGTGATTTACCTGCCTCGGACTCCCAAAGTGCTGGGATTACACGCGTGAGCCACTGCGCCAGGCCCAGTACTTTATTTTCAGAGGCAGACATGAAGGACCAGAAGGCTGAAGCAACCTGCCAAACCCACAGTGCTGGCAGGTGGCGGAGTCTGGGTTTAACTCAGGCCGGGACCTCAGTTTCCTCATGATAAATTTGGGGTGATGATGGCACCTCTCTCAGGATTAGGTTCTGAGACTCTGAGACATTATGCAATCATGGCAGGCACGCGGGGGCCACTCTTCAAACGTCTGTGCGCTTCCCTTGCGCCCCGCCCTGGCACACCGCCGCCCCCGCGGAGCCCAGGGATCCCAGCCCGGCAGTCCTCCGTCAGCTGCTTCTGTTTGGTTGGCGGGGACAGCTGGGCCGACAGAGAGGCCCATTGTCTCCGTACTCTAGGGCTCTATTGTTGGGGCCTCCTCCTGGGTTGCAGCCCCGCGGACACCCCCAGCTGTCTCTCGGGCCTGGCTCAGCTTCCCGGGGCGGTGGGGGTGCGGGTCGGTGACGGAGACGCTGCCTGCTCTACAGAGCGAAACGCAGGCTCGAGAGCCTTCCGGGGAGTGCTGGTCCCGGAGCTGCCGCTGCCGGGGCCGGGGGCGGGCTCAGGTTGGAGAGGTCACGGGGCTCCTTAGGTCACAGGCGGCAGGGCCAGAGAAACTCCCTCGCCCCTACGTTTAACCCGCGGAAACAAGGGCCCAGAGAGCGCGGACGCCAGCCCAAGGTCACTCAGCGAGGCCCCGGCACAGCCCGCCCGGAACCCGGCGTTTCTAACCCCCAGCCTCTCACTGTTTCTGCTCAGCTTCGCGAACGCAGGAACAGGCCCGAGAGTGGTCTGCCCCTTCTGCTACGCCACGCCCGGGGTGAAACCCGCGCGGCCCCCCGCCAGAGGGCGGGGCTTCCGAGCCAGGCGGGATTCCACTGGGTATTTGCCTGCGGAGGCGGGACTTCGGGCTTGATGGGCGTTGGGGGTGGCCTTCCTGAGGGAGAGTCCTCTGTGACGCATACGGGAGGGGCGGGTCAAGTCGGCCGGAGCTCCGCCCCCAGAAGACGCGGTCGGGCCCGGGGGCGTGTACTGGGCGGGCCCCACCCGCGCCCCGCCCCTCCCCGCCCCGCCCGGTCGCGGAGCGGCGGCCAGCGCTGGGAGGGCCGGCCCCGGGATGTGAGTGCCGCGGGGCGAGGGCGGGGGTGGGACGCCCAGGCCAGCTCGGGGGCTCCCAGGGGTTCCGGGTGGACGGGCGCGCGAGGGCGGGGGCGGCCAGGAGGGCGCGCCAGGTGGGGGTCCAGGTTTGCGGGTGAGGGACGCTCGGGCGGGGTGCTTCCAGGCCCTCCCGGCGCGCCAGGCCAGTCCCGCGCCCCTGCTCGGTGGCCCGAGGGACGCGCGCCGGCCGCGGGCCCGGACCGGGAACGGGCGGGCGACGTGCGCAGGTCTGACGTCTGCGCTGCCCGGCCCCCCCGGCTGTGCGGACGCCCCCACGGCGGCAGCCACTGGGGCGGATTTCTGTCCCTGGGTGAGGACTGCCTGGGTGTGATGGGAGGGGTCAGTCACGCGGCGGGGCCAAGGGCCCCCTGCTCTGGCTCCCGGTGGGTCCCAACTCGCGTTTCTGAGCGCTTGCTGTGCTCAGCTCCTCGGTTGCATTCTCGGAGTCCTCACAACAGCCACACATTTTGCAGCCCGGGCCTAGGGCCACACGGCTGTGGGGGCAGTGATTGCAGTGCAGAGGTGAAGCGCGGAAGCCTTGCAGCCAGACACGCATGAGTGCGCGTCTGCTTCTCCGCAGACCTGCCCTGTGACCTTGGGCACACCTAATCTGCTCTCTGAACCTCTGATGCGATTGTGGTGCCTACCCCCCAGGGCTGCTGTGAGGACCGGGTTGGAACTGTGTTTGTGGAAGGACAGCCAGTGTAAACAGCTGTTGTTGAGTGGCCCTTCTCTGTGGCTGAGGGGCTAGTGGTATTGGGCGAAGGCTGGTGGGTCAATCCCGGCGGGCTTGGGAGGGAGCTGCTTTCTGCTGAGGCTGCCCCAGCTGTGCCTCTGTCCTTTTCCACACGGTAGGCTACACACAACCCAGCTGTACCAGCATGTGCCAGAGACACGCTGGCCAATCGTGTACTCGCCGCGCTACAACATCACCTTCATGGGCCTGGAGAAGCTGCATCCCTTTGATGCTGGAAAATGGGGCAAAGTGATCAATTTCCTAAAAGGTATGGAAGGGCCCCCCTTGGACTCTTATCTGCTTCTTCCAACCCACCTGCCTTCTCCGTCCTCATCCCCAACATAAGCCTCAGGCTCTTCCATCTTCAGTTTTAGCCCACGGGCTGCCTTACAGCCATGCTTCCGCCCAAAAGAGTATTTCCAACACAGACTCCTAAGCACAATATGATGTCCCCGACTCAGACTCTCCTTGGCTTCCCATCCTGTGGACCTAAGTCCTGCGTCTACCCAAGAGGCCTAGAGGAAGGGTAGCTGATTACTAACCGGCACAGGGAAGGTGAAGCTTGGAGGAGTCCGTTCCCTGAGGTTTAGAGAGTTAGGAGGTAGAGCACCTCCACCCCAACCCCCTTGATTACACGTGGGGGAAGTTGGGGACCAGCAAGGTTGGGAAACATGCTCACAGTCACACAGCTACTAAGAGAGTTGGGTTTGGAACTCAGAGCTCCAGGTGCCCCACCTTTAGGGTTCATCCCCCTGAGCAAAATGATACTTTGGAGAGCACATCGATTTAACTGTGGTTTGTGATCAAGGGGCCTGATTTAGGTGGGAAATTGAGGCATCACCATAGGCTGGTGCATAAATATTCCCCTTGTTTCTTGTATTAGGGGTTCTTTAATTGAGGGAAGTAGGAGATGTTACCTGGCATCAGATGCAGCTCTGAACATTTTAAAATCACACAACCCTTGTGATCACACTGTGTATAAATTTCACTTCGGCACTAGCCTATCTTAATACCTAAGCCCATCTCCCTTTTTAACAAGTTTAGAGCAAGCCTCAGGCTCTGTGTCTTGCAGAAAATAGGATTGAATTGGAGATCAATAACCTTGCTCCTATTGTATTTCTTTTCTTGTTTAATTTCTGTTTATGGCAAGCGATACTAACTTTCCATCCGCAATCATAACCAGAATGAGTTCCAAGAAAAATCTTTTTTTTTTTTTTTTTTTGTTTTTTGGGATGGAGTTTCGCTCTTGTTACCCAGGCTGGAGTGCAATGGTGCGATCTCGGCTCACTGCAACCTCCGCCTCCTGGGTTCAGGCAATTCTCCTGCCTCAGCCTCCTGAGTAGCTGGGATTACAGGCACGCGCCACCATGCCCAGCTAATTTTTTGTATTTTTAGTAGAGACGGGGTTTCACCATGTTGACCAGGATGGTCTTGATCTCTTGACCTCGTGATCCACCCGCCTCGGCCTCCCAAAGTGCTGGGATTACAGGCTTGAGCCACTGCGCCCGGCAAGAAAAATCTTAAGTAGAAAAGAACACAGGTGGTGTGCTGCAATGGTGAGAGTCCTGGCGAGGTGAGTGGAGCCAGCCCACCTCCCACCTTGCTGTTCTCTTGCCTTCCTAAACACAGTCCTCAGGCTGTGTCTCCAGCAGGATCAGCTGGAGTAGTTCTCCCCATTGCTCCCCTTGGGCTCCTGCCTCGCCAAGTAGCTCAACAGAAGGGTTCCTCCTCTCCTTCGTTTCAGAGCCAGCAGTTGGCCTGAGTTCCCTCCTCTCTCCTCTGAGGATGGAGGGGAGGCAGGGGCCATGTAGCAGATGGCCTCAGATGCTGTGCCAGGAAAGGAGCTGATCCTGTGCCTGAAGGCAGTGGGGACCATGGAATGTTCTGGGAGAGGAGTCCTGGCTGGAGCTATATATGGAAAATGTATGGAACTAGTTGGTTCTACCAGGGTTAGTTACTAGGGGTGACTCATTCAAAGATTTCCCTAGAACCCAGAGCATCATGGTCCAGTTCTCACAGTGCCCTAGGGCACTTTCTGCTCTCAGCCTCAGTTTCTTCCTTTGCAAAATGGAGCACATCTTGCCTGGTGTAGGCAAGGGGTGAGGAAATAAGGTATTGTTTCCCCTTTATCATTTGTAAACCACTCTTCTAATTTTTAATGACTTGGCCTTTGTCTAAAAACAACAACAAAAACACTTGTTTTATAAGGAAACATTATGTCATCAAAATGGGAAAAGGCAATTTCACTTGCCATAAATAGGTCATGGTAAAAAAAGAAATGCAATGAAAACAACAGTTTAATTCAATTCAGGCAGTTACTATTGCCTGCAGGCTGTGAGACTGACAGCTGGTTCAAAAGGAAGATGAGCAAAGCACAGGCAGGTGTTGGGAGGCCATGCCTCACTGAGCCTCCTGTGATGTCATCAGAAGGTGGAGGGAGGCCAGGCGCAGTGGTTCACGCCTATAATCCCAGTACTCTGGGAGGCCAAGGCTGGGGAATCACTTGAGGCCAGGAGTTTGAGACCAGCTTGGGCAACATAGCAAGACCCTGTCTCTACAAAATAAAAATAAAACACCTAGCCGGGGATGGTGGTATGCACCTATAGTCCTAGCTACTTGAAATGCTGAGGCAGGAGGATCGCTTGAGCCCAGGAGCTCGAGGCTGCGGTGAGCTATGGTTGTGCCACGGCACTCCAGCCTGGGCTACAGAGCAAGACCTTGTCTCACATTTATTTATTTGTTTGTTTGTTTATTAAGACGGGGTCTCACTCCCATCACCCAGGCTAGAGTGCAGTGGCACAATCACAGCTCATTGCAGCCTCAACCTCCCTGGTTCAAGTGACCCTCCCACCTCATTTTTTGACATTTTATAGAGATTAGATCTCACTCCGTTGCCTAGGCTGGTCTTAAACTCCTGGGCTCAAGTGATCCACCTGCCTCAGCATCCCAAAGTGTTGGGATTACAGGCTTGAGCCACCACACCTGGCCAAGATCCTGTCTCTTTAAAGGGGAAAAACAAAAGGGGTAAAAAGGTGAAGAGAGAATTCCTAAGAAGAGTTTTTCTCACTCTGAGGGTCAACGTCTCTGCCCCTTGTGCCACCTGTCTCTGAAGGTTGCCTGGCACACCTGAGCTCTCCTTGTGACTATCAGTGGCTTGGGAAACACGGGACCACTGTGTGTACAATATTCAGTGCTCCCTGGCCAGAGGCAATGGCCACTGTCCACAATGGCTGGGGAGGCTGCCCCTTCTTAGAAGGACCACAAGCCAGCAGTGCCAACCTACCCCTGGGGCGGCCTGGGGCGGGGGGGCCTGCCAGAGGCCAAGTCTGAAGCCTGTAGGAGGGTTTGGGGCTGGCCCTGACCTTGAGGTCAGTGGGGAAGCAGGGTGCTCCCTCTGTGGTTTCAGAAGAGAAGCTTCTGTCTGACAGCATGCTGGTGGAGGCACGGGAGGCCTCGGAGGAGGACCTGCTGGTGGTGCACACGAGGCGCTATCTTAACGAGCTCAAGGTACAGGACGGCGGGCGTGGGGGAGGCTGTGGGCCCAGGACGGGGACTGCTAGCCAGGATTGGCCGGAGGCAAGAGGCAGCTCAGCCTGGGGAAGCACAGCCTCACAGGGCACCCATTCATGTCCCTAGTGTTGGGGGAATATGGGCGTCTGTGGTCCCCAAGAGAAGGAGCAAGGTCATAAAAAGGAAGACCTCAATTTGGTCCAGGCCACTATGAGGGTGGTGACCTCCCCTTCTCCAGGGTGTATGAAAGCCTTCATAGAAGTTTCAGGCTTCTACAGTATGACTTCAATCTGTGCTCCCTGGACAGGCCTCAGGGAGCCCAGCCACTGTCCTCATCCAACCATAGCTCTTTCACTTTGGCCTATTTTTGTTTGTTTGTTCATTTGTGTTTTGTTTTTGTTTTTATGATGGAGTCTTGCTCTTCACTCAGGCTGGAGTGCAGTGGCGTGATCTTGGCTCACTGCAACCTCTGCCTCCCAGGTTCAAGCAATTCTGCCTCGCCCTCCTGAGTGAGTAGCTGGGATTACAAGCACATGCCATCATGCCTGGCTAATTTCTTTGTATTTCAGTAGAGATGGGGGTTTCGCTATGTTGGCCAGGCTGGTCTCGAACTCCTGACCTCAGGTGGTCTGCCCACCTCTGCCTCCCAAAGTGCTGGGTTTACAGGCGTGAGCCACTGTACCCACCCTGTTTGTTATATTGGGCTAAAGTGTAAAACTCTGGTCTAAGGACTTCTAAAGATTTGTTGAAAATTGTTGGTCTAAAAACTAATTTGGAACCCTCAGGGCTCAGCAGAGAACAGAAACAAGTGGGAGGGCCGGTGGTAGAGTCTGGGGTGAATTGGAGAACTCCTGCCCCTTCTCAAGGGGCTGCTACTCAGCCGCACTGTGGGTCCAGCATGGCCAGAGCACCTGGTCTTCAAAGAGAAGCCAGGAACCAGATTATTAAGTGACATTTCCTGATTTTTTTTTTTTTTGTTTGTTTTTTGAGACAGAGTCTCACTCTTGTTGCCCAGGCTGGAGTGCAGTGGTGTGATCTCAGCTCACTGTAACCTCTGCCTCCTGGGTTCAAACAATTTTCCTGCCCAAGCCTTCCGAGTAGCTGGGATTACAGGTACCCGCCACTGTGCTTGGCTAATTTTTGTATTTTTAGTAGAGACAGGGTTTCACCGTGTTGGCCAGGCTGGTCTCGAACTCCTGACCCCAGGTGATTACCCACCTTGGCCTCCCATAGTGCTGGGATTACAGGCATGAGCCACCACACCCGGCCCTGATTTCTTAAAGTAGCATTCATTGTAAGATTGCAAAAGCCCACCTGTAGACTGAACTAGGCACACTGGCTGCCTGCTTGTGACCCTTTTTCCAGGGGAGGACACAGCTCCCATTAATGACTGAGTTTCTGAAGGCCAAGGCATTCAGTTCAGTGCTCTTTGTGGGATCAGAGGGAGGTTGGGTCAGGGGCTTGCATCGGAATCTGGTGCTGCCAGCCTGCCTTGGTGGGAGCAGGGTCAGGGATGCCTTAGGTTATCTGCCCCAAGAGTGTGGGAGCCCCGACCCCCAGGCTCCCTGGCTGGGCTCACCTTAGACTCAGAGCCACAGTGGATGTCTGAGGCCAGCAGGCCCCTCTGCTCCACAGATGGAAAAGCCTAGGCCAGAAAGGGGCTGTGCTCACTCAAGGTCACCTGGGAAGTTGGCCAGGTCTCGGGAATACCCCTGGCAGGCCATCCAGGCCAGTCTTCTAGGTTCCCAGTCAGGGCTGCTGCCTCCCTGCTCCCCGACTCCAGCCGGAGCTGTGAGAATTCTAGATGGGGTCACGACAGTGTGAGCTCATGAAAGATTACCAGGAAGAGGTTGAAACCTGGCTCCTGGGAGAGAGAGGGGTGTGAGGCCTTGGCAGGAAGCCCAGTGCTTGGCTGCCCTGGTTTCCCTAGGCATGCGTGGTCACAGTCCACAGCCTAGGGCTGAGCCAGGAGCACATGGCTATCAGAGTCCCGAGGGTGAGGGGAAGGCAGCGACAGGAGGCGCTCAGCTGGGGCAGGGAGAAACCAGAGCAGAATGGGGCCAGGGTGTGAGTGAACCAGGCTGGAGGTGGGGCCCAGGCTCCAGGACCCCATGCATCCGAGGAGCCTTCAGGGGAACTGTGTAGGGCAGGCTTGGTCCTCCAAAAGCCTGAAAGCAGCTTACTATGTGATATATAATAATACAGAATAGCTGGGTGTGGTGGCATGTACCTGTATTTCCAGCTACTTGGAAGCCTGAGGCAGATCTTTAGCTCAGGAGTTTGAGGCTGCAGTGAGCTATGATTACACCACTGCACTCCAGCTGGTGTGACAGAGTGAGGCTGTCTCTTAAAAAAATAAAAGTAGTAGGCCGGGCGCGGTGGCTCACGCCTGTAATCCCAGCACTTTGGGAGGCCGAGGCGGGTGGATCACGAGGTCAAGAAATCGAGACCATCCTGGTCAACATGGTGAAACCCCGTCTCTACTAAAAATACAAAAAATTAGCTGGGCATGGTGGCACGTGCCTGTAATCCCAGCGACTCAGGAGGCTGAGGCAGGAGAATTGCCTGAACCCAGGAGGCGGAGGTTGCGGTGAGCTGAGATCGCACCATTGCACTCCAGCCTGGGTAACAAGAGCGAAACTCCGTCTCCAAAAAAAATAAATAAATAAATAAATAAATAAATAAATAAATAAATAAAAGTAGTAACAGGTAGAGTCCCAAGAAGAAAACTGAGGTTGGGGGCAGGAGGAGAATTCAGGTAACTGAAAAAGTCAGCCAAGATGGTGATTCAGCTGCTTATTTGGCTTGGAGCTCCCTGGAAGCCAGAGCAAAAGGAGAAACATGATGGTTTCTACAGCACCTAATGAAGGTGAAGAAGTAGTCATTCAATACATCTGTATTGAAGGCCAGCTGTGTGCTGAGTACAGAGAGCACACACCATGGATTTGTATTTGAGTTGTGGAAGATTAAAATTAAGGAAGCAGCTACCCAAGAGTTTTCAGAGAGCACCAAGGACCATGAAGAAAGTGAAAAATAGAGAGTAATTGGGTGCTCAGGGAGGGCTTCACAGAGGAGGTGATGTTTGAGTTTCGACTAAACAAAGGAGCAGGTGATACTCACATATAGCTTTTTTTTTTATTTTTTAATTTTTGAGATGGAGTCTTGCTTTGTCACCCAGGCTGGAGTGCAGTGATGTGATTTTGGCTCACAGCAACCATCACTTCCAGGTTCAAGTGATTCTCCTGCCTCAGCCTTCCAAGTAGCTAGGATTACAGGTGCCTGCCACCATACCCGGCTATTTTTTGTATTTTTAGTAGAGATGGAGTTTCACCATGTTGGCCATGCTGGTCTCGAACTCCTGACCTCCAGCAATCCATCTACCTTGGCCTCCCCAAGTGAGGGGATTACAGGCATGAGCCACCACTCCTGGCCCTCATATATAGCTTTGAAGGAAGAATGTTTCAGAATCCCAGGCCTGGAGGGTGGAGGAGACTTGGTTTCCCAAAGGAGAGAAGAATGCTTGGGAGGCTGGATAGAAGGGAATAAAACATTGCACTTGTACACAGTGCAGTAGGGAGGCCAGAGCCCCAGGCCTCACAGGGTCTTACAGGCTGTGGGAGGAGTGCATATTGTGTTCCAGGGACCTTGGCCAGTCACAAGAGGGTTTTCAGCAGGAGGGTGATGTGGTGTGACATGCCCTTGCTGTCCAGGTGGGACCCAAGTCTGTTTCAGACATCATGTGAAACTGCCCCCGAGGGGGCAGCTCAGAAACATCTCCCACCTCCCGCAGATGTCTGCAATGTTTCTTTTCTCCTTCCTCTGCTGTGGGCACCCAGAGAGTGCCCTGGAGAGTCCTGCAGGTTTCTCAGGCTGCTTCATTCCGTGTGTGTTGTGTAACATCCACTCTCTCCCCTGCCTCATCCCATTCGGCCTCCAACCCCTGCTGGGGCTCATGCCTGACTCTGCACTGGTGTGGCCTTTGATACTTAACAAACAGGGCACTGAAGGAGAAGCAGGAACTTGATGTTTGCAAGATGATGTCAATTCAGGGAAACCCATGTTTATCAAGCTCCTACTGTGTGCAAGGTCCAGAGTTGGTTCCTCTGAGGGTGGCTGTTGAGCTCCCTAGCACCCCAGCACGCCAGCACTGGGCTCTTGCCTTTAGTTGATTCTCAGGTGACAGTTTGCCATGGGGTGTAGGTTAGTGCTGAGCAGTGTCTGACATCTTGCCCCTGTACACTTTGCACTGGGCGGTGCTTAGGATGCATGGATCCAGCAAGTGCTCAGAGGGCACCACTCTGATCTAGGTGCTGCAGGGATGGGATGGAGCAACAGACCTTTCTTGGTGGAGCTGGCATTTAGGTGGGAGAGTCAGACAATAAATGTAATAAGTGATGAGATAATATGTTAGACGGTGCTGAGTATCCTGAGGAAGGGAAGGGGCAGCAGGAAAGGAGCAGGGAGAGCTGGTGAGAGGACAGCAGTTTTAAATCAGGAGTTGGGAAAGGGCTTACTACATGTAAGGTGACATGTGATCACGCACAGGAAGGGAGAGGGTGAGTGGGTGATATGGTCATCCAGGGAAGGGCATTCCAAACAGAAGGAACAGCAAGTGCAAATGGCCCAGGGCAGAACTATCTCCCGTGAGTTCCAGTACAGCGTGGGAGAGGAGACACAGACCACAGCTCTGCGGAGCACCTGGAGGGACCCTGAGGAGTCTCTAGGCGAATGAGCTCCTTTTGGTCTCCAACTCTCTTTTCCTTCTTCCCTGAGGGGATTCCTCTCGCCTTTAAAAAGCATTTTTTTTTTTATCGTGGTAAGATTCATATAACAAAATTAGCCATTAATCATTGTAAAGTGTACAGCTCAGTGGCGTTTAGTTCACTCACAAAGTGGTGCAACCATCACCTCTAGTTCCCAACATTTTTATCACTCCAAAAGGAAACCCTGTGCCCTTTAAACAGTTGCTCCCCATTCATCCCCTTAAGTCCCCTTGG